CTTAAAGTAGCCCTAGCAGCAATTTCTAAATACCACAAGAGGGGGATATGACTCTATGGCAGAGGAGGAAAAAAATACAGTTTTTTTTCCAAAAAAAAAAAAAAAAGTTATTTTCTTGACTTTCTAAGACACAGCAGTAAGGGTATTTCTGGATTGAAAATAACAGAGAGGTATGCAAAAAGACTTATTTCCCAATTTATTATTAGCAAAAAGGTAAGATTTCTCTATGTCTTTCACTAGAGGTTTACAGTTATTCAAAGCACAATATCCATAAATGTTCTGGTCCTCAGGAACCCTATGAATACCAGGAACCCTGTGAATATGGCTGTCAATTTAGTGCTCTACCTATAGCTATTCACAAACTATTTGCTGTTACTTCTGATCAGCAGTATGGAAGGGCTGTTGGTTTAGCACAGTGTACTTAAACAGGTGCAAGATTTTTTAGAGGGAGAGAATCTGGCTCCACACTTTCAGGTTGTGAGCCCGAGCAGATCCCTTCACCTCTTTAAGCTTAGTGTCATATTAAAGGGAATAATATTAAATTTTATCTCATAGAGTTGTTGCAAGACTGAGATAAGGTACATGAAATTAATTTGCATACTATGTATGTTTAAAGACAAGTTGTTATTATTATTGTAATGTTAAGTCCTACCAGTTCAGCTGAGTATTGTATTTTCATTTTCATAAAAAGTACCCTTGGTTTTTCATAATATTTCCATCTTTTTCTGAGTATTTTACTTGAAACAAAATTCAGCAAGAGCTCTGCGAAAAAGACTACTTCTAAGAATGCTTTGGACCCAACTAAGTCATGTTTTCGGGTTTCTCTACATTTTAAAGGGTAAATATTTCAATAAATGAAAAGCAAATGAATGTGCTTTGTAAAGTCTAAAACATAAAAATTTAAGTAATTTATCAGGGATTAAAATGAACTCTCAAAGGGGAAAAAGATGTCACAAAGGGCTAACCATCTTGTTGCAGGATTCCTCGCAAGCAAGGAACAGCCCCCCTGAAAAAAATATTTGGACCTTGCCAGTCTTTAAACCTTGGTTTGGAATCGGGGGGGGGGGGGAATGTACATAATTTTCTCCAACTATTCTTTTTGTTTAACCATCTTTTACTTACCACTGGCATTTGTTCATAGACACGAATAGAAGATAGTCTATCTACAATAAAGCAAAAATGAGCAATTGATATTTTATCAGTTCTAACTCACTTATAAAACATACACATAATTGCTTTTGTACCTAAAGGATTTCCACGGATTTTTTCCATTTTCTCTTTGAGAGAAATAATTTGCTTTTCTAGTTGATCATTCAGTTCAAGCTGTGTCTCATAACGGGTTTTCCATTCACTACCTAAGTGAAAAAGAGGAGAAAATTAAGATCACCCCACCACCTCCCACTTATTCATTAAAACAATATGAATGGCTCAGTCTTACTCTGTTACTGTACTTGACTTTATTAGCAACACAGATGAACTAGAAGGAAATACTTTTTAAGTACATATTTCTATGTTAGATAGGATTTTCTAGATTGCAGGGACTAGACCCACACACTCAGGCTGCCACACAGCTAGATCTCACCATGACTATTGTGGTTCCTATTCTTCCTTACTCCCCGCCCCTTTTTGTCCTTTACTTCCTCATGTATCCTGATAATGAATTCCATTAGAGGGAATATCAAGAACATGTTTCTTTCCTTGGAGCTTGAAATATCCATATATAACACCCTAAATAATATTAACTATTAACTCCCATCCAATGTCATGTTCATTTTTTTTGCCTTTGAAAAAGAATTCTGAAGTCTGTTTAATAAGCACTTACATGTTTGCTATGTGTAAAACACACAACGCCTTACACATATTAACTAATTTAATCTTCATTTAAAAAAACTTAATTAGTTACCTATTTTACAAATGATGAAACCAAGGCTCAGAGATGTCACATAACATGTTTAAGGACTGGTTGGTTAGCTCACTGGTTAGAATGTTGTGCTGATAATACCAAGATCCAGGGTTTGATCCCTAGACTGGCCAGCAGCCAAAAAACAGACAAAAAAAAAAAAAACATCTAAAGATGACAAGGGGAACTGGGGTTTAAACCCAATTTCATCTAACTTGAAATTGTATCCTTTTAACCAGTAAATTAAGGTATCACCGTGTGTATTTACCTATCTTCTCAGGCATTTTCTGTTATCCTTAAGCAAGTTTCTTTCACTAACTTTTCACTAACGCCAAAGCATTTGTCACATATGCATATGTGTAGGGGGAAAGGAGAATACAGCCTAGAATTAAAATGTCTTTGTTCGGCTTCAAGACTTTTTGGGTGTCTTCAAAGTCAGGCTTTGTAGAGAGAAAAAAATGGTTTCTTTTCAACTTTGAATGTTCTTTACACATCCGAGATAACTTCTGCTACATAATTGTTGATAGAAGACTCTAAGGAGAAAGAGAATACTAGCACACACTACTGCCAACCTCCTCAACCCTGACACAGGTCTCCCTTACACACTAACCTCTATTCAAATATGTTCTATCAAGGAAAGCAGCCCAAACACCCTCCCAAACTGACACTGAAAGCCATTTATCCAAATACTTTAGGGAACAAGAAGGAGAAGCCCTGAATGACTGAACATATCCAAAAGGTACTGTTGAGCTCAAATAGGTGGAATTATCTTTATTACTGGCTACCTGAAGTCTCTCTTTGTCATAGTACCCCTTTCCCATCATGCGAATGGGGGCTTCATAGCAAGATGATAATGGTTACCAAAAAATTAAAGATGCAATTTATTTTTGGCACAACTGAGTATAGTTTATAAATTTTGATCACATTTTACATTAAAAATATTATTGACCTAAAGATCATCAAATATAGATAAGCCTAATAATACACATACTATTATGTATTAATTAATGTTAATGAGTGCAAGGTCTTAGAGGTAATCATGTCAATATTCATGTTCCCCAGTGTGGTGAACTGATCTCCAATGTATGACTCAAATGTGTAATTCCTTCAGTGTACACAGATTGTTCTGGACTGTAGGAGACAAAAGAACAAACAGAAAGGCATATAAACTGTTGAATTAAAGGAGAAAATTTAAAAATAGTGGTGTACATAAAAAATGGGAAGAAAATAGTCTTATGTTGCTGTAGGGCTGCCTTATGGGCCTAGGCACTTCTGCCTTTGTGGACCCTTTTCTCCATAAAAAAGTATTAAAAATTCTGTTTTATTACTGTTGGTATAAAGATAAATATAATCCAATACTGGATCATATTCATTTTAGCCTTCTGATTTCAAAAGAAATTAAAACATCTCATGGGCTTCTAAAAGTATCATGGACCCTACTGCGTGTAATAGATAAGTCAGCTCTGTGTAGCTGTGAAAGTAAGCTCAGTTAGTTCCAGGTCAACATTCTAATAAAGTATACAAACCAATCAGAGTTTAGAGCAAAGTGTATAACTTTCTCATAAAGTATACAAACTAATCAGACTTTGGAGTAAAGTATAATCTGCTCTTAAGCTATCTAGACAATGAGTAATCATTGAGACTGGTTTCTAGAGTTAGTTTGGCATATCTTTGTTTGGCCTTCTGCAAATAGTTCATTTCTACATCCAATCTATCCTACCAGTACTAATTATTGCCACATTGCCAAAGTTGACCTGAGAATGCATTGCTGTTTTGATAACTTACTATGAGGAGGGGTCCACATTTTTATAACATAATGTGTACATTATTAACAATTCATTAATTAAAAGACACATGCAATTGCATAAAAGTAAAGAGTATATAACTTATCAAAACCTGCAGCCATCACTGACTTACATGGCTAATACCAATAAATGTGCTGGAATTTCTGATTGCTTAGCAAGTGGATCACAAAACTGATGATTAAAAAAAAATTTTTTTTTTTCTACAAAACAGCATTGGTGCCCACAATCAGGTCAACTTCCTAATGGTCAACTGTTTTTTTTTGTTTGTTTGTTTTTTCCCCCCTAAAAAAGAACCACATTGAGTTTTCCTTTCCCTACCACACTTTGTTCTGTGATAACCCAAAGGTATTGAAAATACTAAGGTTTGTAATTTTTGCATCATTCTTCACCTGTCTTTAAAATGCAATGATGTTGAAGCTATATTTTCTTTTTTTATTTAATTTATCAATATACAGTGTAGCTGAAGAAGCTATATTTTCAACTGAGGATAAGGTTGGAAATTAAAAACAGCAAGTTTTTGAAATGGACTTGATACTAAGGGAAGTTCAGAACCATCTGAAACCAGCTCAAGTAAGAGATGTGTTGTCTTTGAGACTGCCACAATAAACTTTGACACCAAAAAAGATGATCCCTTACCTTGAGCATAATAGCGATCAACCTAAGGAGGCTGAAGGTATACTCATAATAAGCCATTATTTAAAATACAGGTTATGAGAATAAATATTTAGCAAAACATTTGTGTCTCTTGGAGGGAAAAAAAAGTACTCTGAGCAGTAATTCCATGAAACCATTGCTCCTGCAGCAACTCTACAAACAAACAAAACGAAAGCAGGCTGTACATTTTAAAGAAAAAATCAAATTATCTGCAGTCTTAAAGAGGTATCTTGGCAAAAATCAATACAATAAAAAAGAAAAATCAAACAAAAAACTGAAAAATTCTTTTTTTAATTTAATTTTTAATTTATTTTTTGTCATATTTTCTTTTTTTATTATTTTACTTCTCAATATACATTGTAGTTGAAAAATTCTTGAAGTTTGACTCATGTTCAGTTTCATGAATTGACCTTGGAAGGGGAGGTTCATAAAAAGGGAGGAAATTAAAAAGAGAAAGAAAAAAAAGAAAAAAGAAAAAAAAAAAAAGGAGGAAATTAGGTGCAGCCCTAACTCTTAGATAAAAATTTCTATTTTTATTTTCCAAAGAGAGACAGCAATGTTAACAAAAAA